GGTTTGACTGACTGGTGTCTTTAGTTTTCTATTTATCTAGTTAGATAGAGACAACACAACATTCAATATCTGTGAACATAAAGGCGGGGGTAGGGGTGGTTGCGCTGGGGTGGAGCATGAGGCCCGTGGTGCTGGTGCTGGGGGTGAGGACGGGTGGGGTGTGGATTGCGCTGGAGCGGTGCATGGGGTTGGGAATGCTGGTGCTGGGGTGGAGGCTGGTAGCGTGCAGGGTGTGGGATGGGCTGGTGGCGTGCAGGGTGGGGGATGCGCTGGTGGGGCGCATGCTGCTGAGGGTGCTGGTGCTGAAGACGAGGGCGGGCGTGGTCAAGAGGTGGGTAATCTCGGTAGGAGCGTAGGTCGCTGGAATAGGGTAGGTCGGAGGATGGTCGGTGAAGGTGTGGCCCACTGGTGTTGGGTAGGTTAGTGGCAGGTCTCACAGTTGGCCTGTTAGTTCCATGCCTGGGTCGGAATGGTACAGCTGGAGGTGGTTGGTGTTGTGCGGGTTTGGGTACATTGGGTCTGAGAGGGGGAGCATTGGCAGATTTGTTGATGCCTGTACCTCCCTTCACCTGCCTCGTAGTCCCTGCACTGTCAGTAATTCCTCCTTGCTTGCTGGACTGATTCGCTCTTTTTTCGAAGTTCTTTTTAAATGCTAGGAGTTCCAGAACTTCCTTTCTCTTATAAAGATCTGCTTTGTCAATAGGTGTTGTTTTAGTTTCTGGGTCCTCTCCTTTTTTTGTCTGTCCGGTCTGTTCTTTTAGTCTCCTTATTTCATTCCTCATATCGTCCATTTCCTTTTCCATCCTATCACGTTCCCCGGTAAGGTCCTGCACTGTCTTCCTCAGTTTGTTCCTTTCTGTTGATACTCTACCCAGCATTGTATTGAAATCTGCATTCGCCGCTAGTATTTTCTCAATCTCCGCATAGTGCGCACATGCCGGGATAGGCATACAGACATGGTAAAAGGGTGGTCGGCATGCAAATCGGCTTGGGGGTGGGGGCTTGGTGCATGGACATCCAGGAGGGCACTGGCGTGTGGCGGGAGCCGGGCCAGCAGGGTAGGGCGTGGTAGAGGAAGGTGGGGTTGGTACCACAGTTGGCTGGGGAGCGGCCGAGCCTCCAGCTGTGGGCTTGGTGCATGGGCAACCAGGGGGGCACTGACGTGGAAATGGAGCTGGGCCAGCAGGGCGGGGTGTGGGAGGGGAAGGTGGGGTGGGTACCACAGTTGGCTGGGGAGCGGCCAAGCCTCCAGCTGTGGGCTTGGTGCATGGGCAACCAGGGGGGCACTGACGTGGAAATGGAGCTGGGCCAGCAGGGCGGGGTGTGGGAGGGGAAGGTAGGGTGGGTACCACAGTTGGCTGTGGAGTAGCCAATGGAGGCAGGATATGTGCCACATCAATGTGGGGAGTGGCAGACGGGGTTGGAGTGGGTGCCACATCAGGGTGGGGAGTGACAGAGGGAGTTGTTGTGGGTGGCACATCAGTGTCTGAGTCAGTGTCAGAATCAGAAGGGGTGGGTGATGCAGGGGGAGGGTGAGACTGCGTGGGTTCGAGGTTCGGGAGCCTTGCTTCTTCCGTGGGGGTTAGACTGGGTGGACTGCTGACCTCCTCAGCAGTTCTGGTTGTTCGTCCACTTCTGGACAGCAGTCCTGTTTCAGAACCTGGGTGTTGCGTGTGCATCCGTTTGACATATTTAACTATTGTATGTGTAGACAGTTGGTGCCTTGCCTCTCAGACAGATGCACTCCAACTTCAAGGAAAGTTCCCAATTAGTCGACTCTTACGACATGCTTTTGGTAGGCAGTTGATCTATTCTTGTTTTCCCTATAATAGGGCCCTGGAATCCACACGGGGAACTGCAGGAGTCCCTTTCAGGGGTCTTGGTGGCGTACAATGCTAATAGCTATTTTATATAGCGCAAATAACCTAGTCACAATTATAACCAAGAGCTCCCCCTTCGGGGATTCTGGTTGAACCTGACGATTTTTCCCCAGCAAAACACTGGGTTGACAGAACTCGCTGAGTGATTAGATAAACGATGCATCTGTTGATTTATTCTGGTACACAGTTAAGGCTGGGTCGATCTAACAGCTAAGAGCATTCTTTGTTTTTTTTTTTTTAAATCCTTCCGTTGAAACAGAAGACTTTGAGCTGGGAGTAAGCTTCTAGCGACTTTGTTACCTGCGTTACCTCATAAGGTATGACTTTTATTCTAATTGTGCATGATGACCGAACAGTAAAATATTATAATAAGTTCTTCCTTGTTCCCTACATTCGTTGTGCATACAAATCAGGTAAATTCACTACTTTTGTATTTTGTACAACTTATTGTTTTATTTTTGAAAAAAATACCTTTATCTTCAGCGTTCAAAATAAAAGAGCCACGGATAAGTTGTGATGCGGTTTACAAACTGGTTTGCTATATCTGCGACCAACATATTCAATGTCAGAAAATCACTGATTAGTGGTCTTTTATGACATGATTGTTTGGGTGCGGAGCAGGAGGTGGGGTGTGAGGAGAAGGGGGGAAAATGATGTTAGAAGAAGAGGGAACTGTATAATAAATACGCTCAAAAAGTATTATCGCAAGGTTTGTCAGGAAAATTAAATAACAAAGACAAAAACTGCGAAAGCATTCACGTCTCTACACACTCAAAAGCACACCCACCCAGTCGAAAACACACTCACACATATACCACGCACACAAATGCCATCCTGCAGTAATTTCTATGGAACTTGTTGCGGTTTGCGGTCGAAATCTCTTATGTCGCATTATCTAAATTGTGTAGAATTGTGAAAATTAAATTTTCAATTCAATTTCCTCGAAGCTCGAAATTGTCAATGCAATGTTTTAACATTACATGCTTTCTTGGAGAACATAAGAATGGGTTTAGCGTTGAATGTGGGCAATCTGGTCCAACCTTAGAGATTTAACAGAAAAAAGATTTAAATATAAAAATTGGAAAATGGAGCAATAGCGTGTAGCGGTGGGGTTTGCAGTTTTTATGAATATTATAGTAATAGACTGAAAGACCGTCTTTTTTCTTTCTTGACTTAAAGTCTGTGCGATGTGGCGTTGGTAGTCATGTCTTTCACCAACCTCCTGTTTCGCTTAATGTCAGTCAACTCCGACACAGATAATCCAAATTCCATTATTTCAGACCGCTCAGCATCTTTTATCTCGGTTTCCCTCTGTCTCTCCTCTCTTTCTGCTGTCACTCCAGTTTTCTCCTTCTCATCACAAAACCAAAGTATGTAGACTCTCTTTCTGATGTGGGCAATCAGTCATTTTCGTGGATCATTTTCCTCAAGACACTTTCATTGCACTAGACCATCTACCCTGAACATTATGTTTATAAAAGAATGTAGCTACTATCAGTTGGCAAACGTCTTAACTCACAAGCGTATAAATATGTTATTTACATACACTCTTACATTCATTTCTTATTAGAAATGGCTGGTTAATTATTTGTTTGGCAGACACTAGGGAACTCGTGTGTGTTTTACTTTCCGACTTGGACACACTTACTGGACAGCGAACTGCTTTTGTTATCTTCATCTCACACTAAACTGTAGATGTACGGAATTTAACTTTTTTTTTTTTCATTTACATGTTTACCTGGCGTTTATTGTTTGTAGTTTGACTGTTGTGGCCTTTCGATCTGAATATATTTGCAGTTAGTATACTCACATTATTCTGCGGTACAAAGCTTTGCACGTAAGGCATTCTGCTGGCCACTGATTATTTCAATGAACCAGTAAATGTAGACAAGAAATGACACCAATCAGTTAATCTGACATATGCCTGGAGAGACAGTGAACGAATAAACGGTTACGGAAAACTGATTTTTTTTAATAGTACGAACATTTTTAGTATAATAGAACAACGACATTTTGAGTCTTTAAAAACAAAAATTTTCCCCAGAAAAATAATAAAAATTGAACGCAGGCTGGGAAAAGGTAAGATATAGATAGTATGATCAGAGCAACGACAAGCTAAGATCAAGCTTTGAAAGTGTACATCTAAGGAGAGCGACAGGGAAAGTTTGAAAAATATTGCATTTAACCTTCTTTGAGAAGACAGTAACCGACCGTCTGATTGGGAATGTTATATTAGAACAAATTATGTCTCATTTCGTCCACTGTGAGTTCGAAGTCCTATTTAGGGTAGTGGATAATAGATCCACTACCCCCAAAAAGGGAGTCGCCGTGAGGGAGCGGCTAGACGCTCGCCGTGGATCGGAAGTTCTTGGGTTCGCTCCCTGGTGGTGCTGGGCTTTTTTTTTCAAAAATTACCTTGACTCCCAGGTCGACACATTCTTGAGTGGGAACCGGGTGCAGTCCCGGGAAGTAGACGCGGCCGGTTAGGTGCTGACCACATCACGCATCTTGTGCCGATTGGTCTATATAATATGAGTCTAGCCCTATATGCCCTATACGCCTAAAGGCGTGGAAAAGGGTCCTTTACTTTACTTTTACTTTACCTCTCGAAAATGGTTTTTTGTAAACATGATCTCCGAGGCGAAGTGGTCAAAACTATTTTCCTGGCGCTCTGAAGGTTGTAGACTGCTTACACGGCTGGGTCGTTCTGTACACGAATGAAATCTTTCCGGAGACTTTTGGGAAAGGTCGCCGGAGCAACTTTATTTATGCTGTGTGCGCTCTCTTTCCCCACAAGAAAATAGAATTAGATACTGGACAAAACTCGGGGCAATGAAGTCGATTCTCTGAACTTCAGATTCTGAAATCGGAAGTTTTGGGGGAAAATTAGCAGATATCGCAGTTGAGCTATAAGCCACAGCAAAACGTCCAGTCAGCCTCAGAAGGCGAACAGAGAAAAAGCATATATTTTTCTGATAAAGATAAATTTTATCCAGTTCCTAGTTATGAACACAATAGCATGTGCTCAATCAGATACCCAAAGATAAACACGATGTTCTTTGCTGAACAAACCCAGTGATCAACACAATGCCCAGTGATCAATTACCTCGAAGCACTCACCTGCAATAACTTCTTGACTGTATTGACGTCGTTGTCTTTCAGAGCTCTCTCCAACTGCTCACACTCGGCGCTGAGGTCAAAGATGGACGACGCAGCGCTGCTTGTTCGT